TAATAGAGACAATAAAGCCAAAGTTTGGTTCTTTGAAAAGATTAATAAAATTGACAAATTGTTATCTGTAGTTTAAAAAGAGAGAGCAAGGGCCCAAATGAACAATATTAGGAATATAAAAAGGCTCTATAAGGCAGATGCTTCAGGAATTTAAAAGATGAAAGCTAAGCTGCTCTGGGTTCTATTCCTATCACCAAATATGCAAAAAAAATTTTTTTGTGTAACTTCATGCCAGTAAATTTGAAGAAATAGATTAACTGCAAAAATCCCTACAAACATAGCTTTCCTGAACTTCACACTGCTACTTATTAAAGCCACAACTAGTTGCATGAGGCCACCCACATGGTGGAAGACATCTATTTTGCTCAAAATCCAGATATAGGGTGGGGGATTTAGCTCAGTGGTTCCACCACCTGTGTCACAAGTACAAGGACTCGAGTTTGATACCTGCTACCAAAAAAACAAAAAAAAAACAAAAAAAACCACCCAGATATAGATTTTAATCTCATTCATAAAGCACCTTCACAGAAACATGTACAATATGTTTGACCAAACATCTGGGTATCATGGCCTGGCTAAGTTGACATTTTCATTTTAGGGCATTGAAAAATGAATATAAATTTAATCTGAGTAAAAGAGCATCTTTACAAAAATGACATTATTGAGTAATTTTCAGATAAGTTATATGTGCTTAAATTATCTGTTTTCCATTTTTGAATGACAACATAAGCAGAGATAACTTTACATAATGATATGGTCAGGGACCTGTGTCTTAATGCCAAGAGCAGAATTAATTTAAAAATGAGTAGCTCTTACTTGTGAATCTGGATATAGAATTTGTTATATAATGACCACAAGAAATGTTACTGTTTTGGAAATGCAGTGCTTTCAGGAATGAAACCAGTTCACTCTTTACTCTATGTTTCCAGATCTGTTAATGGTTAAAATTGCTTTAAACTAAGAGCCTTGTGAATGTTATAACTAATTACTCTGAATTATCTATGAATGAGATCCAAATTATTACCCAAATAATGCTAAGATCTGGGCTAGAATTAAGGTCCTTTCAGGAGCAGAAGCTAGGATGCATTTAGAAAATATTCAGTTTTGCTGTGGTAAACACAGTCTTGAATTTACTTTCATTAATGTAAGTTCATACTCTTGAGTATTGGCATATTGAAAAAATTAAAGCAAGTTTATGTTCCAAAATTTTACTTAATATTTACAGTAGTTTTAAAAACTCTGCCATGATGAGTAACAACTGATACTAATTGGTCAGCTGACAAAAAAAAAATCTGATGAACTGTAACCTTAAAAAGATCTAAACTTTCTAAAATTTCCATTAATAGAATAGTTCACAAGCATCACCCCATGTTACTTAAAGGGTCATCTAACAGTGAGCTAACAATTCACTTTTTAAAAGAGCACAGAAATAGCTTCCTATTCTGAGATGCAGCACCTGGGCCATCTTAAAGGAAAAAGGCCATGGGTCCCCTCAGAGGAGCTCCTGTCCTGGTGCATCTGTTAAAGGTGGAGCTGTTTCAGGACATCCCTGACAATTTAAGGTAGCTGTGGGAAGAAAATGGACCTCTAGATACAGGTACCTTGGGTCATGAACTTAATTTGTTCCATGATTTTGGAAAGGATGCCACCTTTGTGTTTGTGTGGGAAAGGTGGTTGTGGTCATGTTTGTCACCTCATACAAAACTTGCAAGCAAATGCAAAATTTTGCCAAACATTTTTGTTTATGAACTGAATAGTTTTCAAACAGCAGCATTGGTGTACCAAGGCACTACTAAATTTTGCGTGCTTTTGTCATACTTTCCAGTGACTCCTTTCCCATCTGTTTCTCTGTACTGTCAGGAAGGGCCACCTCCAGAGAGCAAGCTCGGCTCAGTGTGATGTCAACCTGGGGGAAATGAGCAGAACCAGTGCCCAGCACAGTGAGTACATTCAAGACAAAATGCTTCAAGTCCTCTGTGAGGTTGTTGTTTCACATAGGGATTTGGATTTGGGTCTATTCAGAAACATTAACTCTAAAAAATTTTCCGTGGATTTTTGTGCTGTCACCATTTTCACATGAAGATTTTTTTTTTTTCTTTTTGAGACAGGGTCTCATTAAGTAGTTCAGCCTGGCCTTGAACTCGTATCAATCCTGCTGTTTCAGCCTCTCAAGTGCTGAGATTACACACATGTGCCACCACATCTGGTGAAGATAAATTTATTAGCAGTATGACACAAATCATGATTTTTTTCCAGAAGAAAACAAGGTTTTCTCATGTTCTTAGCTATAATGTACTGCACAGCTATGAGGACTGGTTTCCAAAAGTTTTTTGAAGTAGACTAGGGAAGGAGTTTTACCTGCAGTATAAGTAAGCCTTTGGGAAATATTATAGACAAATTAATGTTTTTAAACTGCTTTGAGACTTCTGCTTCTGACTGAAATGGAAGAGCAGACACTGGACTTCCTCTTACTTGAAATGATAAAAGAATGGACTAACTACATGAAACAGTGATTTTCAAGACATTGATATCAGGCAGCAAAGGACCATGAGCTCAAGAGATGGTAAACAGATGATGCAAGCCAAAGATTGCCTTCTCTTACTGCCTTAAGAGACCTTGCAGGCTGCAATGCAGGGTGGGCACCTAGGCTGAGCTTGGCAGAATGCCCAAGTTGAGAGGATGGAGCTGTGAGTCCTGTGAAATGATCAAAACACAAAGTCCTCACAGCTGAGGGATGCTGAAACTGTCAGGACTTTGGCAGCTCTTGAAGATGGACTAAATACCTTTTGCACATGAGTCTTTGGGGGACTAAGTGTGGAATGTTATGGCTTGTGTTTAGATGTCCCCCAGAGCCTCATGCAGTGGCGCTAGTGAGCTTTTTAAAAAGCTGGATAGTGTGTGACGCTGGAATTGATTCATGGTACAATGAATCAAGGGCACTAGGACTAAGGGTTGGAGTGCTACCAGCCCTAAGCCAGGATAAAATATAAGGGATAGAAAGAGCCCTTACTTGCTTTTGCTGTCCTCTGCCTGCAATGAACTGTTTCTCCTCTGCATTGCCACCCTGCCTGGGAGCCAGCCAATCATGGGTTGAGATTTCTACAGATTGTGAGCTAACTAAACCTTTCCTCCTTTAACTTTGGGTGCTGGGTGTTTTGTCTCAGCAATGAGAAAAAAGCAACTGCTTAATGGGTACAACAGCTTCATTTTAGAATAATGAATAATGTTCTTGAGAGGTGATGGTGATGATACCATACATTGTTATTTTACTTAATTCCACTGAACTTAAAAATGATTAAAATAGTAAATTCTGTTACATTTTGGTCTCCACAATAAAAGTCAACCAAACTGATAGAGATACCATTATTAAATGAAGCTATCATCTGATGTGTTGAATTTTTAATGTGCTCAGAGTGGTTAAATTATCAAGAGGCCAAGACAATGTGTTGCTGTACTTTTTAACTGAGTTGGAAGCATATGTTTTTGTGGTTTGGGAAGTTTGCTGCTCTTTTGTAATGATAACATCTAGAGCCACATTAATTTGTAAAGTGTTCTGTGGTAAAATACTCAGTGAAAAAGTTCTTGGACTGAAAATCTTTATTGATCATGTTAATTGGAACGGTCAACAGAGACAGGAACTCTTTTTTGTTTTTGCTTTGTCTTAAATTAATTTTATTGTTACATTTAAGGTATACAGTATAATGACATTCATCATTGGAAATTTGCACCTTTACATAGTCCATCTTGGTTCTTATTTTTCCCCCATTCCCTTGCCTTCCCTTCAACCCCTCCACAAAGACTTTGTTTCCATTTTTCATTTTCTCATATTAATTCCATTCCTTTCTTTTCCCCTTCCCCTTTGCATCTTTTTTTCCTATTTCACAGAGTTCCTAAAAGGTATAATAGATAATGTGAAATAGGAACTCTATTTGTGATCTGATAGGAAGATGTATCTGCAAAGCACATAGGAAAAGTGGTGTCCTGACGTATGACCTGAATGCACGGGCATCTGTGCTTGTAATTCAGTAGCATTTCTCCTCAGGTTTGCCTCTTGATTTTTCTCTTCTCAAAATGTCTGATGGGATACAAAAACTCAATTATTTTTTAGAAACTGTGTTCATATAAAATGAATTTGTATTTTGACCTCTTCCTGTTTGAAAACATACATTTATAAAATATGGGGTAAAGTTTTGGAACTAAATCATTTTTTTAGTACTAGGGATTAGACCCAGGGCCTTCACACTGAGCTACATCCCAGCCTTTTGAATCAGGTTCTCAGTAAGTTGCCCAGGCCCGAGTCAAACTTCTGATCCTCCTGCCAGCTTCCCAGACTGCTGGGATTACACGTGTGCACCACCATCTCTGGCTAGGAAAAAATAACTCATAAAAATAGTTAAAAACTAGCATAAAGCAAGCGTTGGATTTAACTCATTTGACCAGACCTTTATTCAATGTCAGAAAATCTCAGTCAATAGTTCTAAAGCTCTTAACTATAAAGGAAGTGAAAGGAATATTGTTTACCAAATGTGACATGATATGTGTCATGAAAATAAATTGGCATCTCAGCTGAGGAGAACTGATTACAGAGATTGGGACTTGCTGGACAATATTAGCTTATACTTACATTATTAAAACCATAGCATAAATATACATGTTAAATTTTTTTCACAAATGGCCTTTCTTCACCAAGAGAGTGCTCCTGCTACCACCACAAAGTGACATTTCAGTTTAGTGGCTGCCCTCTGATAGCTGTGTTCATGTTGCCTTGGGTATTCCTATAATCCTCAAGATGACCTTCCCAACTTGTCCATAAAGAGAACAAATAGCCTAAAGTCCTAGCATGCATGTGCATTGTTAACTCTTCTCCCTGTTTTGTGTGTATGAACAGGTGGAGGGGCTGAGGATTTGAACCTAAGACCTTTGCATTAAGCTGTTATCTTTGGCCCTGTATTTATTTATTTATATTTGGTACCGGGAATTGAACTCAGGACCTTGAGCTTGCGAAGCAGGCAGCAGAACCACTGAGCTAAATCTCCAGCCCTGGCTCTTTATTTTTTGAGACAGTGTCTTGCTATGTCACTGAGTTGCCCAGGCTAGGATAGAAATTTCAGTCCTCCTGCCTCAGCCTCCAAAGTTCAGGGTTTACAGACATATTCAACCACATGTGACTCCCATCTCCCTATTGAAATAATTCCCTCATGCCAAAAACACAGGTAAAAAGCAGAATGATGATAAAGTCATAAACACTTTGTGCCGGGCACTGGAATTGATGTTTCCAATCTGTCAGCTCATATGACCTTAACTATGTAAGGTAGCTATGCTAAAATCATTCCACAGTGAGAAGCTTAGAGAGACTAAAAATCACACATCTAAATGGTGTAGAACAGGTATTTAAATCCAATCTGTTTTTCTTACTCCACTTACACTGCACTAGTATGGACAAGAGCCTCAGTACTCATTGGCTAGAGGAATCTTTGTCTACCTGCAGCAGCCCCATTTGGTCACAGGATTTCATAGTCCTGGTGTCTCTGAATCTTTTCTTGCTGGTACTCCTTCAAGCACTCTGCCACTCAACTGGCCCTTTCTAATTTACATGTATTGGAAAGATCACTAGGCTTCTTAGAACTTTGGGTGACAGAAAGGCTGAGGCAGGGAACTTGTTCAGGACTAGAACAGGGACAGTGATGTGCTTCTGTTCTGAGGAGGGATGAACAGCAGCAGCTGGAAACCTCAGATATTTCAGTCACTGCACTCCTTTTTATCATAGCCAGAAGCTGTGGGCTTATGTATATGCATAGATGACACAGTGCAGGAAGATGTGTGGATGAAGAGAAAACTCATTTCCTAATTATTTCCCACAGGTCATGGAAGACACTGAAGAAATGTCAGCATGAACCAAGCATGCTTTCATCTTACAAAGGCAGAAAGTGAAGTACTATAAGGTAAAACAAAACCATTAACCCTTCCTTCAGCAGAAGACCTGGTAAACATGCTATGGAGGCAACCTGTTCTGATAGGTGTGCATCTGTGTCCCTCAGAGGGGTCTGGTGCCACCCAGGGAGCCAGGAGTGAGCTGCAGGCCTGTGGTTTACCTGCAGGTGAATGTGGTCAAGTCTCAAGGGCAGACCTGCCCACAGCTTAGAAAGAAAGCCTTTGAAAGATCCCTAGATACATGGTGATCTTAGGAAAAAGATGCAAGTCCTTTAAGTGCAACTAGTGGCTGGTTTAGGGCTTCAAAAAAACCTCAACTGTTGCTGCTCTAAGCTGTCTGGAAATCTGCAAGTACAGATGAAGCTGCACAGCCATTTCACTGGGCAATTAGAAAAAATTAAATGGGCAGTTTTAATACACTTTTAATAATGACGTACATTTCAACACTGATAAAGCATAGTTTCTTTTAAAATAGTATGTGAAGAAATTGATTTCAAAGATCTGTATCTCAAAGAAAAAACAAACCCTGAAGTTTAAGGTTGGAAAAGATGGATTCAGTGAAAATACCAATGGAAATATCTAGGATTGCTCATTCTTACTACATGTTCTAAACTCCAAGCCTGTTTTCCTCATCAGTTTTGTAATTTTTGTGTATGATTTTGGAGAACACACAGTTTTCACCTTTTGGGGGCACCATTAAGAATTTGTTATGTCAGAACCGGGGATTTAGCTCAGTGTCTCTGCTGCCTGCCTTCCAAACACAAGGTCCTGAGTTTGATCGCTGGTACCAAAAAAAAAAAAAAATTATTTTTGTTATGTCAGAGTAATTTACTATTTTTCCACCAAATTGCATTGACCTTTCATAGAAAAAGAAAAAAAAAGGCAGTAGCAACTTTAAGTATGAGAACACAATCTTGCAGCAGTCTGGGAGGGTGGTGTTCTGATCACAGGGGTGATGGGGCTGATGCAGAGGAGCAAACATTGGCCAAAGGCAACAGGCCGCCCCCAAATCACATCTTTCGAGAACTGCCGAACACACTGGCTTTTGCACACCCGCTCGCCTGTGTAGGCCTTGTGATGCAGGGTGGGTGGGTGAATGGATGGATGGATTTGTCACTAATGTTTGATTCCTTTATCCACATCATGCATTCTCTATGTAACAAATACAGATGAGGAGTGTGAGGCACGGTGATAAAATGACAGGCTCTCGTGTAATTTTTTTAAATTAAGGTTTTAGTTTTAGATTTACAGCCCCCAGTTTATGTTTTGATTTAATAGTAGTTCATCTTGATTTTTCTACTTTACATTGATGCAAAAGTGATAGCAACTGCATTTTGAATTTCAGCTTTTTCCCAGTTAGTAGTGTAAGATGCAATCATGTAATGCTGGTCAGCAGAATGCACTCAAATATTCTGTGAGCCACAGAGCTGGAGGGTAGACGGCAATGGCTCCAGTGCAGTGTGGCCATACTGTGATGTTTGCTAGCTAGGGTGTGTTACGTGCATTTCTGACTTACAGATATTTCCCATTTGGGTCTATCAGGACATGACCCCACTGAGGAGCAGAAAAGAGTCCCCATGTGTTCCCCGCCCTCTAGCTGCTTGTTAGTAAATATTGCACTAGATTAACAAGCACTAATTAGTGCAAGTTCCACTTCTGAATGTAATTTATGGACTCTGACAAGTGCATGTTACATTATCCACTGTTACAGCATCATATTCAACAGTTTTGCTGCCCTAAAAATCCTGTGCTCCGTGTATACACCTCTACCCCTGGGGCAACCACTTGTTTCTTTACTTTTTCCTCTTAGCATTATGCATTTAAGATTCCCTCTTCTTGTGGCTGGATAGCTTTAAAAAAAAAATAGGACTTGCGATTTTTTTATAGTTGTAAAAACATTTTTATTGTAGTAAAATAGGAGTTTTAACCACTTTGAACAGTTCAACAAAGTACACTGTTGTGGGCTGCCATCACCAGTTAATCTCCAGAGCTTTTGCATGATCCTCTATTGAACCTTTGTACACTTCAATTCCTACTCTTAACCCTAACCCCAACAGAAAGTGGTCATTGTTTTGTCATGAATTTTACTAGATTCTCATATAAGTGGAATCAGAGTTGGCCCTTCTGTAGTTAGCATCTTTCATTTAACATGTCCATAGGTTCACCCACATGTGCATCAGAATTCAATTCCATTTAATGACCAAGGATATTCTCTTGTACAGATATATTGCATCTTGTCCACCATGCATCTGTTGATGGGCACTTGAGTTATTGACAGCTTTGACTACCATGAACACTGCTGCAGTGAGGCATACAAATATGCCCCAGGCTTCTTGGAATAGGAAGTCAAATTATGGAATTAAATGGTAATTTATTTCATTTAGAAATTATAAGGGCCGGGGATTTAGCTCAGTGGTTTGGTGGCCTGCCTTGCAAGTGCAAGGACCCGAGTTCAATCCCTGGTACCAAAAAAAAAAAAAAAAAATTATAATGTGTGCCCTAACACCTCCAGCATTTTACAGTTCCACCAGCAGTGTTCAAGTAGGCAGTTTCTTCCTATTTTTGCCAGCATTTGTATTGGGAGAGCATAAAGAGGTAGCATTTCATTGTGCTTGTGATTTGCATTTTTTGTTGATTACTGCTTTCATGTGTTCAGTAGCCATAGATGTGTGTGTCTTTTCTGGAGTTCAAGTCCTTTGTCATTTTTAAACCAGGCTGTGTTGCTGTTAGCCATTTGTTCTATATGTGAAGTGCAAATATTCTGTTCCATTCTGAAGATTGCCTTTTTATGCTATTATATCCTCTCATAACAAATTTTTAGTTTTGATGAGTCTAGTTGGGTCTACCTTTCCTGCCTGCAAATTTGGTGTCAAATCCAAGAAATCATTGCAAAGTCCAATGTCCTTTAACTTTCCATTTTCTTCTAAGAGTTGCATGGTTTTAATGCCTATATTTAGGTTTTTGATCCATCTTGTTATTTTTGGTATGTGCAGAAAAGCCATTGGGATTTTGAGATTACACTTAAGCTGTAGATCACTTTCCTTAGAAATGATGTCTTAGATATATTTGTTTGTTGTCTTTAACTTCTACAATGTTTTGTAGTTTTCACTGTGTACAAGTCTTTTCTGTTAAGTCCTACATATTTTATGCTTCTTTTACAGCAGTAAATGGAACTGTTCTCGATTTCCTTTTCAAGTTGTTCGTTAACGCATAGAAACGCTACTGTCTTTCCTGTTGTCTTTGTATCCTGTTGCTAAGGTGAATTCACCTATTGGCTGTAACAATCTTTTTGTGGTTATCTTTAGGGTTTTCTACACATAAAATCATATAAACTGGGCATGGGAGCACTTGCCTGTAATTCCAACATTGTAAGAGGCTGAGGTGGCAGGATTTCTAGCTTGAACAATTTAGTAAGACCCTGGCTCCCAGCCTTTCCCTGCTGTGGGATTTTCCATATGGCTTTTGTTGTGTTTAAGTAGCTTCTGCTCTGTTTTTAATCACAAAAGGATACTGAATTTTATCAAAGACTTTTGCTTTATCACTTAAGGTGCTACAGGTTCCCCCATTCTGTTAATGTGGTAGTGAACCAATTTCTTATGTTGAACCATCCTTGCATTCTAGAAATACCATTAGGATTGTGTATGACTGTATAGGCAAAAAACATAGGGAGCAGTCCCACTTGTTCAGTCTATATAATATGCTGCAGAGCTGTTTGCTAGTTATTTAAGGACTTTTCCATCAGTATTCATAAGGGATATTGGTTTACACTGTAGTGTCCCTGTATATATGAAGGATATGCCCCAAGAACCCCAGCAGATGTTTGAAATTGTGGATAGTACCAAATCCTACATAGACCGGCTTTTCCTATATAGTTATGCACAATATATCTTAGTCAGCAGCAGACCATGAGACAACCAGTGATGCTACAGCTCAGCTTGTGTGAATATACTTTATATAAATTTGTACGACAGGAATCTGTTGCTAAATAATATACCTATGATAAAGTTTGATTTCTAAATTAGACACAAGACTAACCAGGTTAGGGGGGCTCAGTGGCAGAATACTTGCCTAGCATATATGGTGTCCTGGGGTTGCTCTCCAGCACTACAAAATGGGGCAATTATAACAATATAACAGCATTACTAACATCACTACTCTTGGGCTTTAAGGCCATTAATAAGTAAAATTAAGTTACCTGGACATGGGCTCTGGAAAAATGAAGTGTGTGAGATGTGGCTGGTGTCCCACAGTCTTCTATGCAATGTTCACCTTCCCTTCTGCTTCGTTTCTACATTTAACTGTCCTACCTTAAGTTTGCTTTTTCTCCCCCCACCCATTCATCTGCTTCTGAATGCCTCTAGTCAGAATTTCATGTTGTACTTTTCCTGTTATTTTCGGGGGGTCTTAAATTCTTTTACTGATTTTACGCATTTACCATTTCCCCAATTTTCCTGTAGCTGAGAATATTTGAGATAGATATTTTTAAGTCTCTATATTGTTTTGTCTGGGCTTAAGGACATTTTGCCAATTTACCTCAGTTCTTTAAATGGGCCTTATTTCCTTCGTTTGTATGCCTTTTTGGGAGAGGGGGTAAAAAACTGCACATTCTAGTATAGCATCTTCTCCCTTTTACTAAAGATTTGCTGTTTTTGTTCTGGTTAAGGATGTCGTTTTGTTTTGCAACTTTTCCAAACTTCTTTGCAAAAACTCTTCCTCTTCATATGTGAACACTGATGTCATTGTTCTTTTTGTCATACTTGGGTATTCTGAAAAATTACCATGAATGGAGGTGTCTGCGGACTAGCTCAGTGCTCAAGTAAACTTCAACATACAGTTAGGTTTGCTGAGCTTAGGAAGCAGAAAGCAGTGACAGCTTTGGAGCCTTAGCTCTTTCCTGAGCAAGTATCTTCCATGGGCATGTAGCATTTTAAACCCCTAACTACTCTGGGCCTTACACACTAACAAAGTTGGTCCATTTACTGGTTTTTTTTCTGTTGGGGAATGAGAGCTCAGAGCTTCTTAGTCCATCATTTTGCTGATCTCTCCCAGTTCAATTATGTTTTATTCCCACCTATAACTCTGGTACCTCTGACAAGACTTTGAACGAAGTGTTTATTATGTAAATATATGGCCACTAACTTTTGATTAGTCAGAAGTAGAAAGGTGTTGAGAAAGCACTCCTAATTCTCACTCTGATCATTTGCATTTCAAAGCAGCGTTAGTCATTCTTGCCCTTTTTTGCTGAAAGTATTTACAAAATAAAAGTGCTCCATATACTCTAAAATAGTAAATGACATTTGCTGACTTTTGTCAGTGTTTTCTACATTGTAGTGCACATGTTCTGGTGACCTGTCTTCAGGTACAGGACAAGACAGAAGTACAACATACACAGCACAGCAACATGGCTTTCAAGCACTGGACTCCTGATCCCTAGACACAGGGCCAGCATGTGCTTTGCCTCCCAGTAACATTCTTCACATAGTACAGGTGTTCTGGTCATGCAGCAAGACTGTCAGTACAGACAGTATATTTTCTTTAGCATTAAGCCAGTTCAACTGAAAATCAAGTCAGTCACCCGACAGCTCATCATTTCCCATGGAAAGAATCTGGAGTGTTCTCATTAAAACTGAACCTGTAGCTGATATTTTGAAGGGTACAAAAATAACAAATGTTTTTTTCTTGAAAACTCCTGCAGACTGCATAGAAACTAGATATGTAAGCTTCCTTCTACTGTAATTCTCTGCATATTCATTTTCTTAAATCTGCAGCATAAATCAGGGGCAGATCTTTTACTATCTGGCCTCTTAGGTTGGAATGAGCCACATTTTAAGCAGAACAAAACTAATAGGGAAGCCAGACATTTGGCTCAGTGGTTCCACCACTGCCTCGCAAGCACAAGGACCAGAGTTTGATCCCCTATACCAAAACACACCTGTAATAATAGTGAAGAAAACTGTTGGCCCTCCTTACTATTCCATTTTGCAAAGTGTATCTGTTTCTAGTAGTGCTTTGGTGGGGTTTCTATTTTGGTGATAATTATGTTTTTTAAAAACACACCTTTGTATATGTACATAGAGCAAAAGAAAATTCTGGTAAGGTTAAAACCAACAAGTGTTATGGCACACACCTGTAATCTCAGCACTCTGGAGGCTGAGGCAGGAGGGTCATAGAAAATTTGGGAACAGCTTGGGCTACATAGTGAGACCCTGCCTCAAAAAAAGCAAAGAAAACTTAAATGCGGGGGAGGAAGCAAAGAAAAAACTTGGGAGAAAAGTGATTAAAAACTAGAAAAACAAATAATATTAATGCATTTGCTTTCACTTCCCAGGTTTCTACTGTTCTGTGAACAAACTTGACCATTTCAAGAGCAACAGGCATCAGTTACAAAATCATCTAGGTACATTCTACAACAAAGACATGAAAGAAAAAGGTGGCTGAAACAGACAAGACAGGGCCATGATGGAGGGGCTCCTTCAAATGTTCAGGGACTTGTTCCTCACCTGACTCTGCAGCATCTAAGTACAGCCAGACTGACACACCAAGCAACAAGATGGAGAGCAGGCAAAAAATAATCACACTATGTGTAAGGGGCAGAGAAATGCTCTGGGCGATGTTTGCCTAAAAATCCGAAATTCCATTACCATGTGAAAATGTTAAGAGTGGATACTGCGGACTGAGGAAAACATACTCTCTGCACACCTCTCATCTAAATATTTGTGCAAACAAATTCAAACTTGGAAATCATTTTACCAGGGGTATGACAGGATTGCATAGCTGACAGCTACCTACCATTCCAGGTTTCATCTACAGATTGAGTTCACATCCTTCATATACTTACCCAAAGTAATGAGATGCAAAATGCCATGTATGTTTCTTTGGTATAAGCCAAAATAAGGTAATATAAATTTTTGGTCTTCCAATTAGTTATATAAAGCTATAGGAAAAAAAAAACTTTTCTATGGTAATTAATGAGAAAAAATGAAAATACTTTACTACTAAAATTAGTCTTGGCAGTTTATCTGAGTACCAAAAAAAAATATTTTTAATTTTTATCAAATGTCAGTAATATCGTTAAAACTTCTGAAAAAACCTGGTGAAACAAATACAGCAGAGAAAAATCTTTCAGCCATCTGTGGCTTTTCCTCCTTTACAAAAGGGGGGAGGGGATCTTCATAATTTTGCTAACAGATCACCTACAACTATGAAGAGGTAGATGTAGAAAGTCTACTTCTCCAGCTGCCACCATTTAAAGTCACTTTACATGAGCTACATAATCTTGTGCAACATAACCACAAAGATCTGCCTGTCCCTGAGGCAGGATTCTTGGTGTTATGGTGTGTACATTTTTATGTTAAAAATTACCTCAGTGTGATCTCAGTGTGTCATTCAAAGCTGGAAAAAAGATCTAGCTGAAGTTATTTTTGTTTCAAATACACATATCCCAAGGTTCCATTTTCTGGAAAAGCCAGAACCTGAAGTTATATGCTGTGCAAGCTGCTTTATTTAGATGACCCCAGGTGAATGAGGGCCATTATTGTTGTATAGCTGTGGAACAGATCCTCATCCTTTACCTCGTTACACTTCCTCAGTATAAAGTTCCCTGTGACTATCCGGTCACATCCAATTTCTCCATTTCCAAAGAAGCCGAATAAAGGCACACTAGGAAAAAACTTTCTAAATGCATCAGCCTCAACATTGGCCTTGGCTCGGTAGTAGTGAAATCCCCGGCCAACACAGGCAAACATGAAGCCGATGGTGTCCTGCTCTGGGATGTTGGCTGCCTTGAGGCGTTGCATGGCCGCCTCCGCGGTCTTCTCATCATTGACGTCCTCGTTAAGGAGCACTGTGGCACTCTGGATTCGGAGCCCACTGAAGGACAATCCAACCACGCCAGTGGCATTGATATCTAGAGGGGTCCTAGAAAACAAAATTAGACAAGTTAGCAATCATGAAACAAAAATTAAACTATAAAATATCAAAGAAAAAAACCACTTGATTCACTGCTAGGGAAGCTGCTGCCCAGTTAGCAGCCTGTGCTTAGACACACACCCCAGATAAAAGGAAAATCATAGTGTTAAAAAATGAAATGTATTTAAAGAATGCAGAAAGCAGCTTAACACGCCTCATTTTCAACCACAAATACAAGGGGCTATGCACATTCACACAGACTTCTACTAGAAGGAATAGTTTTTAGGAACCTTACAGTTTTATTCATATACACAAAGTTTTCTACTTAATGGAGCTTCCTAAATTTACTATGTGGTGTCTTCCCCTATACCACCTTCAGTTATCAAATTCTGAAAGAGGATAATTTCTAAAACTTCAGAAGTTTTATGTTGTTTGGCCCATAACAAATATGATTATATTGCTTTTTGTCCGGGTTACTGCTTTAATATGGTAAGAAAAGACCAGATGAACAAGCACATTATTGATGTGCTGACCTGGTTTATAAAATTTCAATAATACACTGTTAGTCACAGTTGTAAAGCATATCAGTATAGGAGAACACCACTGGGGGAGAAACAAGCAAATGCCTTGTATTTCTATCACGTTTCTCAACATCTAAATCTATACAGTGAGCAAGATTCACTACATTATCAGAACCTAAGATTCAAAAAAGGTTAAGAAAGCAAGAATAGCCAGTGGCAAACCAACTGTAGAGCAGCAGAATCCCATTTTCTAAAGTCCTCTCAACTTGAAGACCTCTTATCTTTTGGTAGATACCAAGTTGTTAAGTGGGGGATTGTGGTACACAACTGTAATCCCAGCACTCTGGGAAACTGAGGTGGAAAGATCTCCAGTTGAAATCCAGCTGGGCAACTTAGTGACTTTCCAAGATCCTGTCGCAGCATAAAAACAGGCTACAGGGGTGGGGATGTAGCTCAGTGTGACCTCTCTGGATTCAATTCCTAGTAACCTTCTGCCCCAAACAAGAAACATCTGCTCCAAGTTGTCAATCTTTTGTTTCCAAGAAGTACCATTTTCAGGGTAGGTTATCTGGACATTAAAATGCAGCAGGGATTGATTCAATGGGATATACTGACACAGTATGAGATCCCATTAAAATCTTTGTGTTGTGTAAAGTGTAACGATTCTAGGGGATCTATTTTTCCATATTAGGTATAAAAAGTGGGTGATACCAAATAGACTTGCACCTCAGACTTGAACGTCTGTGAGAAATCATCACTGCATTCTCCGTATACAGTCCCCAGCCTAGGCCTGTGTGAGACCCAGTGTCTGCCACTCCACTGCCTGCCTGTCCTCCCTCACTGGCAATCCAGTGACCCTGTTTTACTGACTGCTTCCTTTGGTTCATTGATGCCAAGAGAGGTAGCAATGGGATTATTTTACCTTCCTCTCACACTAATCCTAACATCTTCCCCAAATCCTAAACACATCCAGAGAGGAACTGGTACTAGTATTTATAGGAGGGGTGGGTGGGGTAGGGGGTTCACTTTTCTAGCTTTTGGAGATGGATGTATTTTTATGAAAGATGGAAAGGGATCCAGCAATGCAAATGGGGGGGAAGGAAGGGGTTTGAGTAATGGCTTAAGATAAAAAAAACATGCTGTTATCACAGAAAGCAAGTTTTAACAAACAACAAAAACCAAAGATCCACAGAAGATCTACTACAGAATTTCTAAAAGTGTGCCAGTATAGTATCTGCAAGATGCTTCACAAAAAGGTTTTGTGACCAAAACAGATCTGAGAAATGCCACAGGTGATTCTGATCCCACCGCATTTCCAACGCTCTGACCATGAACAGCTGAGAGGTTTTCCCATAAAGATACACTAACCATATACTTCCTTCAAAGAAGAAACAGCTACGAAGGAAATACAGAAGTCACTGCAGTCTGGTCAAGAAGCAGAATTTCTCTATGTACCTCAGGTACCTCCTGGGACAGCTGAAGTCTTCCTCTCAGACCCAAGATCCTTGGTGTCTAACCTGGTTTTCAAAGAACTAGACTGAACTGTTTTCCAGCTGTGGGTCTTCTGTGCATTTGCTGGCCATGGCAAAGGCACTACTGACAACCGCCTCAAATAGCCTCCATCACGTATAGCTTGACTCGGGGACAGACACCAGCATCAACTGGACCAACCAAACACTGTTCAGAACTGCTGCTTCACCTTCAACACTGTCCCCTAACAACCCATGCCTCCTCGACAGAACACTTGACTTGGTTTCTGTGTGAACCTTGGCTCTTGATTTTCAAACACATTCTGTACTCTAATAAAAACTGTACTCTGCTTTCATTGTAACTTCATGTATGATTTCTTGGTTTGCAAAGGTGACATACTAAGGTCACAGATACTACAGCCATCCCTGGAAAGCTCAATAAGCAATGCTGAAAGCCAATGTTAAAAGCACGCATCTAAGAAAACATTCTTAAAGAACAATGTGTATAAATGTAATTCTTCGACTGTAAGCAGAATTATGTTAAGACCCTTAACCTACGTCTATCACAAGAGGAGGTAGTATGTTAGCAATTCTCTAAACATTCTTGACCAAAGTAATGAAAATCTGCAACTATTTCCCTTGTCTGAGGCACAGACATACTTCTCAGAGGTCAGTGACAACAGACTGTCCACCTGGCCTCCAGCCAAGATGATATTCATGTTGCTGAAAGTGCTGACCACACGCTGCAGGTAACTGCTGGCTCCCACCTTACAGCAGTTATAGCCAAACACAAGGACTACGCGCAGCTCGGGGTTATCCAGAAGACCTGCAGAGAGGCAAAGAGCAACAGTTAAAGACACTCTCAAAATGTTACTTCTAATGACTGGCAATGCTAGTAAAGTGCAATTTTCCCATTTTTATAAACTTTAATACCATCCAAAATCTTAGCTGCAATTAGAATTTTTCTATTAACAAAACACATGCATGTAACATGGAAGTCTGGAGGAGGAGGAGGAGGAGCACAAGTCTGAGCCCAGCCTGGGCAACTTGAGTGATTTAGCAAAGAGTTGGTCTCAAAATTTTAACAAGGGACCAGCGGATATAACTCAGCACAAAGGCCCAATCAATTTCTAATACATCTGCCAAATAAAAAAACCTTAAATGACTATTGGAAAACAATACAATCACTACATCAAAGTATGGAAGCAATTGTGTCCTGAGCTGCAGCTGGCAGCAGAGATGGCAGGGCCCAAGGAAACTGAACCTCTGGCAATCTGCTTGCAGAATGTGGACTTGAAATCTACCAGTGTCATCAAACAGGTAGCTTCTGGACAGGAAGGAAACTCCAAACCCCACTTATGCTTCCCCAGATCAGCTTCCTTCCTAACAGACCAAAGAGGAAGGTGAGGGCAGGAAACGGGATGCACGGCTGAGGTGAGGGACCAATGGCTGACACCAATCAGCACCAGGGACCCTGACCACTTCGGAAAGACTGTCTTCCTCTTTGTGCTAACCTTGCTGGTTCTGACAGAACAGTTTTTCTTAAGAACCAATTTTCAGAATGGAAGAGGCCCACAGATACAGTAGCCTTTATTTTATAAACATGAATGCCAATACCAGAAGTGACAGGCCAAGAACAGGCCATGCTATTCAAAAGAAAGCTAGGAAATGACTTAGGAGCCTCCCGGGTAGGCAGTCTCAGGCCTTCCATGGGAACAGTGACAGGAATGTAAATCAGTACCAGTCCGGGACAGCCAACACACACTGCCATGCAGACAGCTGCTCTGTTTCTCAGTGTCCCCATGTTGGCATCTTGGCTCCAGGTCACTTTCTGGAGCTCCAGGCCCAGATACTCATGGTCTCCCCCTCCATCTCAAACCCAATGCAGTCAGACAGACAAGTTCTTCTTGTCCACCCTTTATCTCAGCAAATGTGCAGCTCACCCGAGGGGGAACCGGTGACCACCCACTTCATTGTCCACACCTAGCCCCAGGTCAACCACAATGCCACCCATGCACCTCCATGTGTCATCTTGACTCTTACCAAGGCTCCTCAGCACCACCTGTTACCCCAGTCCAAGCTACTTGCCTCCTGCCCGAGTAACTACCACAGCTTCTGATTCCCTTCATCTACTTTTATAAAGTTAAACATTTTAATTGACAAGTAAGACTACAACTATTCACGGCATATGACATTTTAAAAATGTGTACACTACTGAAGTATACACTCCTACTCTGAAATACATACATACATACTGTATGGATAAGCAGAGCTGAGTCCCCACACTACACAGCCAGAGATCTACTCAATCATGGCCCTGGTGCGTGGAGACTCCTGGCTTCATTGCCCTTGCTCCTTGTCTCTGCAGCCCACCCAGCCCCTGCCTGCTGCTGCCACTTCACTGCCTGCATATCTGTCCCTTCTCCCCAACACACCAGTCATCTTTAGGCTTCCGGTCTGTGATGGGGGAACCCAGCTCTACACCTCAGAGGAAGTGTCAGGTTTTCTACTTCCTATTCTGAGCTCTTTACTTCCTACTGCTTCTCTGGCAGCAACCTAGAGGATAGGTGAATGCCTACAATACCCTCCCTAGGGCTGTCAGCTGTCCACCTTCCTGGCACCCCAGACTGGATGAACCCTAGTTATATGCCTCTCCCAGTGGCTCACGCAGTCCTCATTGCTGACCAGGAGGCCCAGAAGCAAGATGCTGTCACAACAGTTGCCCATACACAGTGTGCACACAAACAGGTTTTCAGTGAATGAACACTGGCTTTTTTATGAAACTTAGGTATTTTTGCTTTTATTCCTTAACAATGAAGATTTTTGGTAAGATTTCTCCAAAAGTAACATGTATGTGTGAAAGTATATGAACTGATACTGGATCAGATACCACAGCTGCTATACCCAAGGTATACCCAGCAAACATCACCGTCCAACAGGAGGCCTCCTCTCAGGACGACTGAAAACTGTCAGAATGCGGCGCTGCTTTTTGCTCACTGTGAGCTTTTCATACCAGATCTTAGTCAATGTCATAAGCACTGTCATACACAGGAGCTAAACGTGACCAACCTCCCATCCTCCTACAGCTCAGCCACCCCTCTCTGCAGTCTACAGATTTACCTGCACTCGGATAGCAGAGCAGATAGGAGCCATTAGGCCACGGTACTGTCAAAATCTAAAGTATTCACACTCTGGCCTGCAAGGAGAATCTTCCCCAGCCCCCAAGTGACCCTAACATGACTGGAATCTCACTGTTACAGAACATAGACAAGGACCTCACCTCACCTGCATCAGGACGCAGGCTGGAATTGCAAGGCAGGTACATCCTGCACCCAAGCCTCAGCTAGTCTACACTGAGAAATACGTAACATTAGGACACAAAGCAGTTCATGAAAATGAGATTATCACCTAGCAACACTTTAGAATAAGCCCAAGCTGCTGCCGGCAACAATTCAGAAAAGGGGACTACAGGAAAGCTGGTACCTAGACAAACCAGGGGTTACCATGTTTCCAGCAGCACAACTCACAATGGCCACATTATGCAACCAGCCTGAATCTATCAACAGATAAATGAATAAAGAAAACAACAGGGTACTACTGCTGCCATAAAGAAGGGTAAATGTCAGATGCACCTTGAGATCACAGTGTTTAAGTTAAATAAATCATACACAGAAGGGTAAACATCACATGAGAAATCCAAGCCAAGACTGACATGTATAATGGATGTTGGACAATGGGAAGAAAACATTCTAATGGGAAGGGGAATAAGGGAGGAGGAAAGGAGAAAGGAAAAGGGACAAGAAAAAAGTGAAAATAGAAGGAAAAATGGAAACAAAGCTTTTGTACATAGGGGAGGGGGCTTGGGGGGAATGGGATAAAATAAAATTTATTTTAAAAAACTGATTTAAAGAAAAGAGAAACCCAAGAAAATGTAAAGCACAAAATAAGATAGTAGGAAACAGAGGTACACTTTGTGGAGATGAGAAGAGGATCTGAGAAAAGGGAGAAGAGAGGGTAGAGGCAGTAAAAATGACCAAGAGACACTGTGCATGTGTGCCAGGCCCCAGGATGCACGCAGTCATCACATGTTGCGAGCAACTGCTTCAACTGTCTCAAAGATCTGGGCTGTTTTCCCTCAGTGTCCACACACTCATACTTGGTACCAAAACGCAAACATGGTGTAACAAAAGTAAATTTTATCATGGAATGGATGCTCTCTTCAGTTTCAGGTATTGGTTCTTTCTTCCAAGCTGACCAAAAGCAAACCTTTTAGAACTTTCTTGTGTGTCAGGATCTGAGAGACAGAGGAAGAAGCTTCCCTGGGAGCCCCGAAACCTCTCCAGACACAGCAAAAGCTTCACTGCCTTTGGCAAAAGCCAGAGAACAAGCTGCAATTTTTCGTCCCAGCCCTGCTGCTCCCACCCAACACTTTGGCCCACATCTCCTGGGCAAACCCATGACTGGGTTGCTGCCCCCCACAAAGCAGTAACCATCTGCTGATTTCCTCTAGTCCCCTCTTTGCGCTGGTGTGTTGTTCACTCAGTGCTCAGTACACAGCTCTGCAGGTAGCTGCTTTCACCTTACAGAGGAAGAAACGGGTCAAGGGAAGTTATGAAACCTGCCCTGCACCCCTGCATTCTCATAGGACCTTGACCCACCACCCAAAGTCCCTGCTCAGGCTCCCCACATATTCCTTCCTCTCCCATGTGACCCAGGAGCTACTGTTCCCACTCCCAAAGTCACTGCAGTCCCTCCTCATCGGTAGCCACTCACTCTGTTCTGCACTGTCAAGGAGAGTTAAAATCTAGACTCGTGTAGACCCTCCTTTTTTTCCTAATCAATAGACCAGATTTTCCCTATGCTGCTACCTGATCCTGTATTCCCACTGGGGCAGGGCCCCTCAGTCAGAAATTCAGCTGTGCTACCTACCTAAGCCCAGAGAGGGTAAGAGCAAAAGTAACCCTGCTGTGCTCCAGCAGCTCCTGCACCTATTGTAGCACATACGTCCCCCGAAACACCATGCAATCCCTCTCCTCCCATGACACCTCCTTTAACCACACTGTCTCATGTGTCCACATAGGATACCAGCCTGTCTACTGTGACTCACACCTTTCCTAACACTGTAAGACTGCCGGGCCTCTTCCCATCTTCCCAGTCCTTACTACCAACTTATTTCTTTGAAAACATCTTTAAATAAATGATTACCTAAAAAAAAGAAAAATGCCCCAAAAACACCTGAGTTTTAGAAAACAAGAAACTATTCAAAGAACAACAATTCCTTCAAAATTCAGAATACAAATTTACTTATCAACACAGTATTCTGGAAAATTTTTTATTTTTGGTCCTCTCGGGCTTTAAGGTAAAAATGCATGGACCGAGCCTCTGCTAATCGTCAGCTTGATAAGCCATATCCCAGGCACAGGTGGACTTAAGAGTCCTCCCAAGCGGCCTAACACCCACCATTCACCAGAACTGAAACAGAAAGGTTAGTTAGTGAACAAAATGCATAATTAATGACAAGAAACGGTAACTTACCCACTTTAGTAAGCTGATGTTTTTCTAAGGTTAACTTCTTTGGCTGCTTAATAAAATGAAAGGGCTGTATTTTTATTCCTTCAATTTGAGGAAATAACAGAGCAAAACCAGATTCTCCAATTTCTATTTCCTGAGGTCGATTGCTACCTGATCCCATTGGAGTCACTAGAAAAAAAAAAATTTTTTTTTAATGAACATACTCAATAAAAACTGAATTTAATTATGTAATGGTGCAAATTAACCAATCTCACCCTAGATAACTGCAGTTTAGGTCACTACACAATGGCCACACCAAATAGCTACTGCCAGAGTACAAGGTTTCTCCCACGCTGGCATTGTTAGGGTGACTGTCATGAGGCCTGCAACTTCCTCCAGGTGCTTCGGAATGCAGGGAAGGAAAGCAAATGTGGTATTTTTACAATCACCGACCTCAGATGAAAATGGGAAGGTGTCTCCTAGTCTAGTATCCTTCAACCTTTCCATGGCTTGAAGCTTTTCAAACAAAACATTGAGAGGACACATTTTCACAGCAATTGCACTTTTAAAAAATTTATCCTAGAAATATCTGATAATTATACAAAGTGTATATATGCACAACTATTTTTATCATAGAAATCTATTAGAAAATATAAAGGAAAAAACTAAATCTCCTACCCTGGCATTTAGATGAAAATTTACATTGCTATTACAGAAGGCAGGCTCGGACACATAAGATGCATGTTTACTTGACACAGAAATATTTATCATGTGCTGTGAATTGTCAAGGCACATGTTACAGGCTGGATTTTGTGGTCCTTGACCCCTCAAATTCATAGGCTGAGCCCCCACTCCCCCACTGGAGAGAAGGTCTTTGCAGAGAGAGGTAAGATTAAATAAGGCCACAGGGTGGGCTTTCACTCAAGGGACTGGTGTCCTTGTAAGAAGAGGCGCAGGTACACAGTAGCACCTGGGTACAGAAAGGGCTGTGTGAGAACACAGGAAACACTGGTGTGCAGGCTCAGGAGAAACCTGGGCTGGTCCTGGACTTACAGCCTCCTCCCTAATAGGGAAAGTATGGGTGGTGTGCACCCTTGTGCAGCGCCCTGCGACAGCAGCCCAGCAGTAGGTCACATCCTGGTTTACACAGCATACAAAAACCAAAAAGCAACACCATGTTAACAGAGCGGTTATCTTGCATTAAGTTTTGTTTTGGCTTTACCTGTATTTTCTAATTTTTTTCTCATTTAATAATAAATGAATATTACTAGTACAGTAAGTCCCCAACTTACAAACAGTCAAGCTGCAAACTTTCTGATACCAATGGACCTCACCTTACAAACACTTGTAGATGCAAACAAATCATGGAAGTAGATCACATATTTGCCAGACACCATCCCAGTTGCGCTACTGAGTGCTTAATATGTGTGATAGCGGACAGTAGTACAGTGCTCAGTCAGAGTCCAGGATGTGGAAGGGATGGTTTGGAAGCACAAAGCAATAACCATGGAAACTAATAAAGTGAAAATAATTGCTAGCCCAGAAAAAGGCTAAATTTGCAAGGACAAATGAAGGGTCCGGAAGGCAATACATCTTTTCTTGTTTTTTGTTTTGTTTCGTACCGGGAACCAAACTCTGGACCCTGCGCTTGTGAGATAGGCGCGGTGTCACTGCGCTAAATCCCCACCCCAATGCATTCTTTGTTTTGAGTTGTTATAGCTAGTTTGTCAAAATTTTTATTAGATATTATTACATAGGAAAATTGACTTCTTTGACTACTGAGGACCTAATGGAGTTAAAGGCACAGTGAAAAGATGGAAAGAGAGTGAAGAGGAAGATGTGACTGAAGAACCAAAGAATATCACATCACAGGAAATGGCAAGAGGACTTTCTTTAATTAAAGAGGCTCTGTTAGTTTTCGAAGCACAGGACCCCAATGCAGAATGAAACACAAAGGTTGCAGCAGCCATTCAGAAGGCCATCCAGTGCTAGAGTCATCTATGATGAGAAAAAAAGATCTACTACACAGAGATCACTACACCATTTTTAAGAGGGTAGATAAAATAGCAATCAAAAAAACCTGTGTTAACATCAGGTGGGAGTGAAATTCCATCTTGCCCTCCATTTCCTACTAATGATCCTTCAGCTTCACCTTCTCCCCCACTTCCCCTCCTCCTCCAGTTAGTAACTCTTGTCAGTTCACTCCATGCAACTCTCCATATGCCAGGTCTTACACTGTACTGTACCATCATTTTAAGGTAACTGTAAAAGTAAAAATAGTTTATAAGATCTGTGTCTCTGTTTTTTATGCTTTACATTGTATATTTGTGTCAAAAGTGTATAAGATTCACTCTGATGCACTTAAGAATGAATATAACTTACAGATGTTCTCCCTGAATGGAACTGGTTGTAAGTATACTTACTGTATAACACAAAAATTACCTTTGTAAAAAATATGTATTTTGGGCTAGAGATTTAGCTCAGTGGTGCTGCACCTGCCTGGCAAGTGCAAGGTACCAAGTTCGATTCCCAATACCAGGAAAAAAAAAATATGTATTTGGCTTTTTAGAAAACAAAACCAGGGCCAAAAATAAAGTAATACTGAGATCAAACCAAATACCACATAATATATTCTGAATTTAGAAACAGAAATAAAATTCAGACTATAAGGCCCTTTCTCCCACAAGAAAATATCAAAACATAAAAGAAGTTTTAAAAATGGGTGTATCAGGCTGCAAGGCAATCTGAATTAAAATTATAACAGACTTTCTCATAGAAATTTACAAGTTCGATATATGTGGAAATGCAAAGTATCCAGATAGCCTAACAATCCTTTAAAAAAAAGTCAAGACCTACAATAATCAAAATAATATGGTCTAACATAAGTTAGACAAATATAATATGCAAAAATAATTAATGATACCCAAAATCAGACTCACAAGCATGCAATTATTTCTTATAAAACTGAAAAGACATTTTAATGAGGAAAGAAAAGTCTTCAAATGGTAATGGAATAACTAAGCAAATGTATGGAAAAAATTTCCTACAAACCCCTCCCTTGTAGACACACACAATTCAAACAAAAGCTCAACACATTTCATAGAAGACTAAGAACCTTGTGACCTTGGGGTAGGCAAGATTTCTTACAGAGGACATAAAAATATTAACCATAAAAGAAAAAAACTGATAAACTGAATTTCTCTTTAAAAAAAGTTTCTGATCATAAAGACACTGTTACGGTGAAATATGAGCCACAGACCAAGAGAAAATATTTACACCTCCACCTATTAAGACTCCTATCAAAATACAGAGCCACCTACAACTCAGTAGTAAACAACTATTGTAATTTAAAAGTCAGTAAAAGACTCAGACATTTCACAGATAGCTAATAAATAATGAAAAGATGTTCAACATCATCAGTCATTAGGAAAATTCAAAGTAAAACCACTGAATTAGGAAAAGCAACACCACCAGTGTCCGGACGCGGGGCAGGTGCAGCCCTTCCACACAGCTAGTTGAGGGTGAAATCATGCAAGTGTGGAAACTGGTAGTTTGAGTTAAATAAACATCAACAATGAAAGCAGGCAATTCTGCTCCTTGGTGACTGCCTAAGAACTAAAAAAAGCTTCCACAGAGATTTTATGTTTCTCACACCTTTGCTCTTAATATCTAGGAACTGGAAATAACAGGAGGTCCATCAAAAAAGGATAAGGGGGGCTGGGATTTAGCTCAGTGGCACCCTGCCTGCCTTGCAAGTATAAGGTTCTGAGTCTAATCCCCGGTACCAGAAAAAAGAATGGCAAAATAATGGTCTACATCTATAATAAAAACACAAGAATGGTTTTTAAATGGGTCATTCATACACATAAGTGAATTTCTCAAACACATGTTAAAAATGTTTATACTGAGTCAAAGAGCCCAGGCACCAGAAGAGACCATGTCCATTTATGTGACATTCAGCAACAGGCAACTACTCTGTGGTCTCAGAATTAGAACAGGGGTTTTCAAAAGCATGGATTACCAGAACTGAGGGAGGCAAGAGCTCACTGGGTGATGGAAACAATCTGCGTCGAATACAAACCTGTCAACAGTCAGGATAACTTTATACTAAAAAACTGCATTCAAATATAGGTCAAATTTATCTCAAGTAAGACAACTGACATCAGCACCTGTAAAAATAAACAAATTTTCTCAAATTTGAAATTTTTGGAACCTACAGAAAGATGGACTAGGAGTGAATGGCTGTTTAAGAAAAACAACCACTACACTGAGACCTGAGAAGGAACCAGGAGGATGATCTCATGGAAGTTCTGTCTGGGCCCAGCAGAATGGGCTCAGAGAAGGCCAAAACCAGAAAGCTGGTCGGGGGGGCAAGAAAAGACCACAGGCCACCTGTCTGAGGTGACATCAAGGGCATGAGAAAAGACCGGACCTACTGCACAATCAGGCAAGGATGAAGGGAGGCTCAGATGAAGAATCCCACCCTCTCACAGCAGGGTCATCACCCTGAATGGAACTGGCTGTAAGCATTCTTACTGTATAACAGAAAAATTACCTTTGTAAAACATATGTATTTTTGGGCCGGATAGCTCAGTGGTGCCATCTCCCTAGCAAAAAGTTTCCAAAGGAGAAATCAGGTCATGTTTGGGGAAGTGACAGCTCCTCCAGCCACAGTGCAGAGGAGACAAGAAAGCAACATCAGAAAGGATGGCTAGGGTCCTGTATAGGCATTTTTTTTAAACTAGTAATGGGAAAGTGAGACCAATCATTTAAGAATAATTAAACGGTTTGAAAAAAAACAAGGTTACTGCTATCATTTCCTAATTCCAACGAGAAGTGACGCACACAAGCAGTGGGGAACCAGTGGCAGAGGAGGAAGCCGTACCTAACAAGTAGCATTTGTGCCTGAAGGTATTGAAGTCCTCTGCTTCACCATCCAAGTCACTCAGACATAGCAAGTCTTTCAAGGACAGGCACTTGCTGAGCACCAACTCTGTGCAAAGCCCTGGATGTGACCCCAGCCCCCACCCCAAAAAAGTTTTCAGTGAAGATTAAAACACTGTTCAGGAGTATGGAGTACTACCAAGTTTGAACAAAGAAAATAGTAATAGCTTCCATCTTCTGTCTGACCCTCTGTGAAGTCACACTCGTCTACTCCCCCAAGAGATGAGATGGAATCCACAGCGGCCAGGAACTACCCCAGTCAAAAGGACAATGCAGCACTGACTCCCAGGCCAAGCATCTGGAACACTGCACCACTACCGCCTCCACATATCTGCTCCCCATCTGTCACTAGAGAAGAATCAAAAATAATAGCAGCAAACCAGGTGTGGCGGAGCACGCCTGTAATCCCAGCACTCGGGAGGCTGAGGCAGGAGGATCGCTGTGAGCTCGAGACCAGCCTGGGCTAACATAGTGAGTTCCAGGTCAGTCTCAACTACCTAGTGGGACCCTGTCTCAAAAAACCAAAAAAAAAAAAAAAAAAAAAAAAAAACAAAAAAAAACAAAACCCAAAACAAAAAATACAATAATAAATAGTAATAGTAGCAGCAACAGCAATTTTACCAGCAGCCAAACATGCAGAGAGCACACTCTCAAACTGGTAGCAAGCAACCAGCAGATACCAGCAAGGCCCATCACCCCACCCACTAGTCACAGACAGGACCCTCAAAATGCCACAAATCCTTCCCAATGTGGGGAAGCAAAACGAGAGCTTCTCCTCCCCAGAAAAGCTGCTGGAATGAGCGGCACCACATCTGCTTCACACAAGAATCCCTGAGATTTGAAATCCCAAGCACAGCTTAACACACAGAAGTCAAGTGTCACACGGAGCCAATGACCAGAAAAATAAATGCACTTCTCAGCTACAAAATTATTCACCAAACTACAGGGCCCCATATTAAAGCAAGGAGGAAATGATCAAATTGCTGATTTCTCTCACCTACAATTCCTGGGGTCACAATCCCAAGGACTTGGCACTGTTTGGGGAACAGCTTCTCAAGGGCAACTGCTGTTTCCATGCTCATTCTTTTCCTTGCTGTAATAACACAGTAGCAAAATTACTGAATTCATCCACTTAAGGTCAGATCTGACAATGCAAAAAAGGGGCAAATATTAGACACCATCATGCTTTATAAAAAGTCTAAAAACTTGATTAGAAGTTTTCCCATTTGGGCTTCTTCTTTGTATTTACATTTTAAATCTGATCTTCAGTATCATTAGTCTGCCTCTGCTGTTTTATTCTGTTTTCACTCCTGTGGCAGCAAACTCAGCAGCAGCACCTGAATGTAAGGCTTCATGTTATCACATTCCTCTGTTCGAGCAACCTCACAGCTGAACTGCACTGAGCCACAGCAGCTGAGTCAAATCACACCAGGATCACCTGAGGGAGCCCAGCTCCTGGCCACAGTGCCTCACAGTACTTGGCTGCCTTCCCCTCAGCAAGCCAAGTCAGTCAGTCAGAAACAGGACCCCACAATGCAGCACTAAGAGGCTAGAACAGCTCAAGTCATACATCCTGCTTGATGAGTAAAAAGCAGAGTCTGGAAGACTACAGTATTTTCAAAGTGAACTGTACTGAGAGGTTAGAGATCACCTGAAGTACCCAAGGCTTCTCGAGGTTCAAGACTCTCACATACACACACAGTAGCTCTGGTTGGGGACCATGTGATATGCAACTTGAAGAGACAGAAGGAAATGGGGAAAAAAGCCAAAATCTCTCTTTTTTTTTTTTTTTTTTTTTTGAGACAGGGTTTCACTAAGTAGTTGAGACTGACCTGGAACTCACTATGTAGTCCAGGCTGGTCTCAAACTCACAGCAATCCTCCTGCCTCAGCCTCCCAAGTGCTGGGATTACAGGGTTGCACCACCACGCCTGGCCCAAAATCTTTTTTTAATACTTACATTTCACATGGTCCCGACGCTGCTCCTGACAAACAAATGTTTCTGAATCGGCCATATATAGAACCGTCCTTGGTAAGATGTGAACATTCTGCAATGAAAACAATCAGCATCGGATGCCATGAATCACAGGGTACCCTAATTACCTGGCTCAGAGGCTGCTGCCTACCTTCCCTCCATCAGTGTTGGTGTCTAAGGACAATGCTTCAAATCCCCACTCAGGCCACGTGTTCCCAACTTAGACAGGGGAACCCATTCTTCCTTCAAGTTCAGCCCATCCCAGCCCTCAAGACACTCATTTTCAACACAGTAATTTAAACTTAGAATAAAAACAGGAAGTGCCAGCAAAAGGTGCCACTTGTCTTACTTGAATAAATACCATGGTTACAGAAGATTCTCACCCCTAGGAAGGTGCAGACCCTGGCTGTGTTACCCCTTTCCCCACTGCCTCCAAATCCTTTACTTCTGGCCTCATCCACTGGCTTCTCCTGGGACCCTCAGTTTACTGATAGTAGAAACCCCCACTGCCACAGGTGCCCTGCTGCTCTCTTCCTGTCCCATTTATAGCCACCTCCTCTCCTGCATTGCCTCTGTACTGGGTCTGTGCTCCTGCCATCTTTAGAGCTCAGTCATTCCCACTGGAGTAGGGTCACAAAGACATTGATTTCTCAGCTTCATTGTTAACAGGCAAGAGCCACAGAGGCCAGGTAACAGAGGGATGGAAACACTGTCCCCGGGTCAGGATGGCACAAAGTGCTTGGCATATGGCAACACCTTGCGTGGGTTAGATGAGAAATGTTGCTCCATTCTCACTTGGGCAGTGTTGGGATGTTTCAGAGTCAATTCTGGATAGTCTTACTTGTACAGACAGAGACACTGTGGTGACTTGTGGCCTCTAGGTTGGAACACAAGGACACAGTTTCCAGTTTCTTGGAGCCAAATAACTTTAAAAAAAAATGTAAACTGGTTGCCAAAAATTTTCTAATTCTCCAAAACTTTTAAATAAAATGTGGGTTTCCAGAATCTTTTGCAAAAACAGAACATTCTGGCAACATCAGAACTGAGGCTATGGCCCACCGGCCACTTCCTGACCTCACCACCTCAGTTTGAAGTACCTGATGAGAGAGCGCAGACACTGTGAGAGGCCAGGCCTCCACGCAGACTTTGTCCTAGACCAGCAGAATAAGCCTACAAGGCTTTTGGCCCTTAGGTTTCTTATTCGCTAACGAATTCTTTTGAAGTCTAGGACTGAAGATTGTATTATTCTCTTTTTGGTCACCCACTGAAAAGCCAATGCTAATTCTAATTCTCAGGAGAAGCAGCCAAGATGATCTCAAAATGAGAATCTTCAAAGCACAATGCAGCACAGCAAGGACCCTTCCATGCCCAAAATAGACAAATGGAGAGCCATTTCATAAACTGCTTAGTGGTCTTTAGTTCCAATAAAAAGTTAAATCAACTTTGTTTATGGCTCTCCCAAGGCTATACACTTGGTAATAAGGAAAACAAAAACAGCATGTCTGGCTTCCACAGGGTTCAGTTTTTGTCTCACTGGTAGTTTAATATATAAAACTTCAAGGCTAACATGAACCTTAATAATATTAAGATTAATGACATGTACTTATCTCTAGTATTACAGGTAATGTGCTACATGCACCATATTCTCACTTTTTCACCTTTCTAACAACTCCATAATGGTATACTTTACAAACTGTAAAGTTCTACAAAATGTCTGCTATAACCAAATAATGAAAACTACCACATGGTTTTTTAAAAATTTAAAAAAACAAAATACAGTTCTCTTCCCCAAAGTAAATTTTTGGTGACATTCAGCTTATTACCCTGACTTTGTATTTGATAGTCCAGATTATAGTAAACATAATTTCATAACCAGCATTTTCACTATCATTAGTTTTTCATTAAATGCTCCTTGAAGTTGATCATTTAATAACTTCACTTTTGAAACATTAAGATGTTAATTTCCATTATTATAAATGATGTTCCATAGAACTCCTTCACGGCAGTCTTTGCTTGCATTTTGAATTCTTCCAAGTGACAGCTTTTGGAAATAGCAGAATTTGGGCCTAAGTGCCTGGAAAGGTGGATTTGGGATGGCCAGCAAGAACCCAAAGCGGAAGCCCGGGACGGGAGCAGACCAGTGCGCTTACCTAACCTAAATACATGAGAAGCAGGGAGGCCAGGTTTCTCCTGCCCAAAAAGGAGCAGAAAGAAAGCTGGAAAAGAATCGTATATTGGATGGAAATCGGATGCACCTGTGTGAACCTCAGCGTCTCCACCTGGAGATGAATGAATGGAAACGCAGATGTCTGCAGCGTGCACAGTGGCCTTGCCTAGGTGAGTGCGTCCCGAGGCCTCCACCAGGAAAACAAATATTCCACACACCACCACCACGCCGCAGCTGCACGGAACAGACGCAAATTGTTTTATCAACAGTCCCTGAACGACAGTGTTAACTCTGTCCATGGCAGTCACAGCAGTGAGGAGGGGCGACTTTAGGCGCAGAGGGGAGCGAGGGTCGACTAAGCGCAGAAGCACAAGCCCGCCCACGCGCGAGCCCGCCAGCGCCCCACTTGCCTCGAGCTCCTCGGCGACAGCGC